TGTATGTGTGTCTGACAGAGAGCAAAGCTCATCACTTAGGTAAATCGCAGTTTCAGAGAGCAATAGAAGACTTACCTCCTCAAAGAGATGGACTGCGGATCAGCTATCATAATGGACATCCCTGAAATAAAGCTCACAAAGCTATAAAACTCTAAAAGGCACATGCATGAAATGACAGAATAGAGTGTGACTGTCAAATGTTTAATTTAGGATTAGGTAACTAAGGAAATATCTGCCCCTAAAGCCCAGTGTGCATGTTCTTTTGTTTTGATTGCTCTGTGAAATATCAACATAGGATGTCTATTAGAATTTTTGCAAAAATCGTGAATTTTCAGTTTTTTAAATGTTTTTAAGTCAAAATAATGGAGCAGTGAAAACTTTTTGGGTTAAATATGTACTAGACTTACAGTCTGAAACTGTACCTCATCATACCTGAGTATGAAATGGAAATAAAAAACAATGAGTGAATACATTGTGGTAAATGATAGACAAAAGAGGGAAAAATCTGGGCAATATTTAGAGTTGTCGCAAAAATTCTCCTTTTTTTTTTTTTTCTTTTGAGACAGAGTCTGGCTCTGTCACCCAGGCTGGAGTGCAGTAGCACTATCTTGGCTCACTGCAACCTCCGCCTCCAGGGTTCAAGCGATCTCCTGCCTCAGCCTACTGAGTAGTTGGGACTACAGGCATGCACCACCACGCCCGACTAATTTTTGTATTTTTTTAGTAGAGATGGGGTTTCGCCATGTTGGCCAAGCTGGTCTTGAACTCCTGACGTCAAGCAATCCACCCATCTCGCCCTTCCAAAGCACTGGGATTATAGGCATGAGCCACCATGCACAGCAAAATTCTCTTTTTTAATGTGTATTTGGTCATACGGAATAGAGTTTATAATCATAACAGACTACTTAATACTCAAATTTAACTATTTCTATAATTCTTACATTAGATTCCTTGTCGTTTCAATTTTCCCCATTGACATTTTAGAAATAATATTAAAAGTATATTTATCTTCAAACTAATGATAATCTAACACATTTTACTATTATTTTACAAATTAGGATTCTGGGACTCAAGGAGGATGACTGATTTGTCTAAAGCAGTATGGCTAATATATATGGCAGAGAGTTTGGCTAAAATGTAATATTCTTGTTGCCAAAACTCATTATTTTCTAACCTCAAAAATGTCCTCTTCCCATGAATCCCTGTGGCCTTTTGCCATTCAGAATGGTTTTGGCTTAGAAGTATGAATTGATACTGACCCCTTCCAAACAACGAAGTGTCCATATTTCTTTAGCTATTTCTTGGCTCTCCTTGTTGATTTCCACCACAGCCTGGGATTATATGCAAACAGTATACATGCTGTTTTCCATTATGCAAGTCTTTCAATAAGTCACAGAGCATAACACTAGATACCAAGTGAATATTAATACATTAATAATAATACTCTGTATGTCAGATTTTGGAATTATTCATTTGCACCCAGGAAATGATGTCATCTACAACTTTCTTCTGTAGATTATACAGTTCACTTGGATCTTTCTTCAAGTCAGCATAAAATCAGATTTTTTTCAAGTCTGTTTTTAAACAGGCTTAACCTAATGTTTCTCCTTGATCTCAGCAAACCTGCAGAGTTTTAAAGACGTGATTAGACATACAAGATTCATTTTTGCAAAGAAAATCTAGTTGTTAGCCCATTACTAGTTCTTATTCAAGAGAGAAAGCATACAAGTCATCTTGTTGGGTCCTTACCTCAGGACTTTTACGTTTTGACTGCTTTGTTGTAATTAATCTCTTTGTGCCCTCTATTCTGAGATCATTCAGTGCATTTAGAATTTTGGCAAGTATTCCTTTAAATGTATTTACTTTTCTTCTTTTTTTTGCTATCTTTCTAATAAAAAGAAGGTAAAGGAGAGAAGACTAATGAGTCTTGTCATTTTCAGATCAGCATTCCTAAGTGCTGTGCTCCATTTTTGTTCCAGAATACTTGTCTTTAAATGGGGGAATGGGATGCTATTTTTCTGCACAAACTTTTGACTAACGTGATTTTTATCAGAGCCAGTCAGAGCTAAGATCGTAAGATTGGTAAAAATTGTCACTTGTGCCCATCAGCATTTATTTCTGTTTTCCTAAAATCAGTTTCTTTGGTGTTTCCCATTTTCAACATGTTCCCACTTAACTCTCTTCATACCTGAAAGGTTCCAGCTGCCTCTAGTTGAAAAGATTAATTTATTTAGAAGAACTTTGAGAATCAAAATATTACCTTTTCCTACAGTATTTGCTCTTATGAAAAGACACTTTTAGAAAAGGAAATATTTAACCCATAGAACAGAATCTCAAATGGCTGAGCTTTATACATGATAGTGCATAGGTGAACTCTTTCAGAGAGGTGATGGCTGGAGACAGGTGGGATTGAAAGAACAGAGTAGGAGAGATTTTTCTAGTATGTCAGCTCTTCTGCTTTATAGTAACACTTGTCTGATTCTTTCTCCTCTTATATGCCATTCAATTGAATTTAAACTTTTGAGATTTATTCTTAAATCTAATCCATTCTTTTGGTGGTTCAATATATTGCCTTGACACATAACTACATATTGATACATAAGTACTATATATAAGTACTATACATCAACTTTATAGGATCAGTTTTCATATGGAATTATATGATAATTATTTTTCACTTAAGTTGTTAATTATCTCCTCCTCACATGAGTTTCCTTGTCTTCTGAATTTATTGTCCATACTTTTTAAAAAAATGTGGCAATGTTATCATTTTGATTTACATGCTGTTGTGATGTGTTTTAATTAAAGGCATACCTCACGTGCTCCAATTCCTGCAGTTGCTTCCCCTTTTTCCTGTTCACATGTCTGTTAGCTTAAATTACTATACAGAGGGCTATGAGAAAGTACAGCTTACCAGGCTGACTTCCACTGTGTCCCACTGACATCCTCTTAGAAGCATAGTAAATTTCACTTTGGGGTAGCTAATTGGATTGTTTATTAATATTGTGTGCATTAGTGGTGAATAGTTACAGGTTACTTATTGTAAAAACTGAGTGTGACTTCCCCAAGTGTGCATTAGTGGTGGATAGTTATAAGTTGCTTACTGTAAAAACTGAGTGTGACTTTCCCGCTCATATTTATTAATTTTAGTCTCTTGGTAAGACAGCACAGCATCTGTAGAGCTGAACTCAGAACCTTGAAAGTTGCTTAATGTGTCATTCTTTTTCTACTTTGATTGAGTTCATCTCGCTCTTTCTTTTTGAAAGACCTTGCTTCAGAATGGAAAACTCTCTAGCAAATATGTAGTATTATTGCCTGTACTGTTAAATCAAAGGCTGAGAGGTGATCCAAGCCCAGTACCTTCCTCAAAGAGAGTAAAGTAAAGTCTACATTGACCGAGGACTATCAGATCATGTTGATGGAATGTGTGTGCGTGTTTTTTTTTAAATGTAACTGTCTTTTGTTTTAACAGCTACATTTACTGTAAAGAAAGTCTGTTAAGCTGGTGTCCTTGATGCTCCTGAGCTCAGCTGAATATATACAGCCGACTCTCTCAGCAAAAGACATCCAAAACATATAAAGCAGCTGAAAACAACAACTTCACACACAAAACAAATCGAGTCAGATTCTACAGTTTTAAATGCGTAACTTATTTCAATTTTAATACCATTTAATTCTATAGAACCAAGTTCATATAAACTATTTTGTCTCCAGTTTCTCTACATGTTTTATACCGATTGACAATTTAAAAATAGTTTTCCATTAAATAATGTACATACTTTGATGAATAAAGTACAGGAGTTTCAAGGCCACTAACTTAAGAGAATTTTTAATATAGCATGTATAATTGTCACATTGTCAGAGACTTCATTGAGATAAAGCAAGTACTGTGTTAAGAATTTCAGTATCTTATTAATTCTTCATGGGAACATTAGTTGGGCCCTTTACCTGTAACACAGTTATCTTAAATCATTGATTACTTTCTGGAAACATTTTATTGTGTCAATAGCAGATCTGCAGTGTATGTGGTTCACTAGTATGATTCATGACTATGTTCCTCAGAAATGAGGTGAATAATTATAAAGAAACTTGAGACAATGTTACGAGATCCAATGGATGCTTTTCTTAAAACTGTTTTGGAACTACATCCTCAGAGCAGTGCTAGCGAGTTCAAGAGAAAGTTACCAACCTTTCATTACATGCTTTTTCTGTTCCTAAGTCACCCAGTTTCTTAATTTGACAGTCATTTCATGTCTCATGTGGTTTAGATTAAGCATTATATTTTTCTTGAAAAAAATTTATTTTGTAATGCCATGTTCTCCATGAATGTAAATCGTGCACTGCATGCTTCAACAACTTGATGTCTCTGTAGATCTAATTTTGGTATATTTGTATCTCAAATAATTCGCCAACTCAATATTTTGGCTTAGTAATCCAAATCAAATTGTGGTCCAAGTAGCAGGCACTCACATTGGATGTACAGAGACTTGACAAGCAATTAACAATGAATATTTAAACGTCTTCATTACCCTTGCATGAGGAATGCAGATGGCATTTGGGAAGATGGCAACCAGAGGGCACTACTGTGAATTGTGTTTCTATTATTTGGTCACCTGACTATTGGAAGACTTTCTCTGGGCTCCATGCCACTTCTATACTTCTACTGTCTGGCCAAAAATAAAGCAGACATTCCAAATGTTAAACAGGTTGCTTCCATGAAATTTCTATGGACATTTTGTGATTTGGGAAGGTTATCTCCAAGGATCCCCGCATATATCCTTTAGGCATACCAAACCCAAACACCAAGACTTTATTGGGGCTATGAGAATCGGAGTTCCTTCAAAAATCCTGATGATCATTCCCTTAATGACTTCAGCTTAATGTGCTGAAAGTGCAAAGGTGAATAAATCAACATTGCATCCTTTCCAGAAGCTAGAAAATAAAATGTCTTCAAATAATTATAATTCCTAGACTGATCTCTTATTATAATTTTTTTAAAGGAAAAAACAACACTGGAGAGTCTGACTCAGCAACTGGCAGTTAAACAGAATGAAGAAGGAAAATTTAGCCATGCAATGATGGATTTCAATCTGAGTGGAGATTCTGATGGTTTGTGAAAATTGTTCATATGTATTCCAATAATGCACGAAAGTGTCTATTTAGTGCCAATTAAAACTGCTAAAAAATAGACTAGACATCCACCTCATACCTGATCATTACAATAAGAGGTCACGTATACTGAGCAGTTCCCATGTGCTAAGCACCCTGCTGAGTGCTTTGCATGAATCATCTCATTTAATTCCTAGTCAACCTATGATAAGTCCCATTGCAGAGAAAGAGTCTGAGCCTCAGGAGTTTTGAAGCATTTTCCCCAGGTCACAGAGCTCTAAGCGCCACAGGCAGGAATTGAATTGAGATGGCATGATTCTAAAGCAAATGCCCTTAATCACCAGCTACCCCATCGCTCCCTTCCCTATTTCTTTCCTTCTTTGTCTTTTTTTTTTTTTTTTTTTCCTTTTTTGAGACAGAGTCCTGCTTTGTAGCCCAGGCTAGAGGGTAGTAATGCAGTCATAGCTCACTGCAGCCTTAGCTTCCCAGGCTCAAGTGATCCTTTCACCTCAGCCTCCCGAGCAGCTAGGACTATAGGTGCACGCCAACATGCCCAGCATATATGTGTGTGTGTGTGTGTGTGTGTGTGTGTGTGTGTGTGTGAATATATATATATATATATATATTTTTTGTAGAGACAAGGACTCACTATGTTGTCCAGTCTGATCTCAAACTCCTGGGCTCAAGTGATCCTCCCACCTCAACCTCCCAAAGTGCAAGGATTACAGGCATGAGCTGCTGCACGCAGCCTCACTTCCCTTTTTCTTGTACACAAAACAAACATTTTCAGAATTTTGTCTCTGTCAGCTCATTCTTAAGTTTCCATTTGTCAAGCCCTAGCCAGAATACATGGCTCAGAGGACATTTCCAGGATTTTTTTTTTACATTTTGGAACCGTTCTCTCCAGTGTTATGTACTGCATAGTCAAGTGCCCTGCCCACTCTCTGTAACCTAACTCGAATCCAGCTGCACGGCTTTATGCTCCCCTCTCATAGGCCTCCAGACTTCTGTTTTCTGTATCATCTCTGAACATTCTGAACATCCACAGTGACAACAAATTAAATTGATACTCTGATTTTTAATAGCATAGCAAAGAGGGAAAAAGAAGAAAGTCCTGTTCTTCTTATAAAGTACCCTGACTGGGAACATCGCCCTACTGTCAGGTAACATCCATGCTTTTTAAGCGTTCCTTTGGTGGCACAGCTCTCAACTTTGTTACTATTACGGGCAAGTTCCCTGCATACAGAAAAGAGTGCACCAGGGCAAACCAGTGAGATGCATATTTTAAGAGAGGGTCCCCTTGAACCCTCCAGTATACATAGCTCTCTACTCCGTGCCTTGGGCCAATTCTACTTTTAAGACCAGGTCTGTATGAGTCAAGGGATTAAACAAACCTGCACATTGAAACACATAATTCTATCAAGACTGAATTTCATTCAATTGGATTCACTCTGCATTTTTCTAGTCTAATGTCACAAACATTTTCTATTTTCTACTTCACTTAGATAAGATAAACCTAGCCTGTGTACATTTAAAGAGCTTGTTTAGATTTGATGAAGACACATAATGTTCATTTTATTGCTTATGTCGCTGTAAGGTGTAAGAACAAGGAAAGGCAGATGTGCAAATGATCATTTGCTAGTCACAAACCCATTTTAGGAAGATGTTGCCATATATTTGCACTTATTTTGTCAATAAAAGACAATTACTAGTAATAACACATTTCATAAATTTTAAGTTATATTAGCATGGTAAAATAGACCCACAGTAATCAGCATTAAAACATCAAAGTTTTTGATGCCGTTATTAGTTAAATTCAATCATGCTTATATGTGAAATATTTTCCACTTTTCATTAAACCAAAGAGCATGTTACTAATGAGAAATATTGAGAAATTTCACCAACAGGTATGCTGTTTTTAATGTGTCGCTATAGAGGTCTTCAAATTTTGGCCATTTTGTTTGATTCCTGTTTCTTCAAATTTAAAAAAGAAAAAATGAGGAATGAATACAAAGCAAGAAAAGAAAAATAGTGCTTTTGGTGATAATACAGTCTCTAGAAATCCCCGAAGTATTTTTAGACTTTTAAATACTACCAAAATACATCTGCAGCTTTTGTGATAATAACCAGTGAAAACCTACTGTCAGAGTTCTACTAGTTCTCCTTTATTTTTTCTTTGCCTAAACTCAAGTATCTTGGAAGCTCTTTAATCTGCTGAAGCCATTCTGAGAAGTCACATAAGCCTGGAGGAGTGAATGCATCTTCCAGAGCTATCGTTGTTAACTCATGAGTTGTGTTTTATCATCTGTGAATCTTACTGATTGAAATGTAACTGTCCATGGGACTCTTTGGATAACTTTAGCTATTAGGGGGAAAATTCAAAGGAAATTATTATTTTTCTCACCTTAAACATGTGACTTTAGACTCCTTAAGAAACTAGAGTAATATAACTGTTTATTTGTTCGTTTCCTTATCATTTTTACATATATTTGGGGTCAGACCTGTTGTTGCTGTATCAGCATATGTCATGCATTTATCAGCATATAATTTCAAAGAAAAGACAATTATGTTACAGGGAAATATCTATACTGTTTTTAACCTCAAAATTTGGTGTTTTTATTTACATATGTTCAGACAGTCTTTAAGTAGCAAAAATATATCTCCCTTATAATCATCCATTCTGCCAAATTTATTTCTGCTTCTTTACCTATTTCATATTTCTATACTACTGGTATGCCTATTGATTTAATCTAACTATTCTCTTTCCAAATTGCATCAAAAATCACATTTTGGAGTTTATTGTGAGCTGTTGAAAGTAAATGGGGAAACAGTTCACTAAAAGAAAGAGAAAACAGATTAGAAATGGGTTAAAAATACAAATACAACATTTGCCACCACAGGACTTATCACAAAAACTTCATAAACAAGCATCTGTCTTAAGAACTAGAAGTGCCATTATCAGAAGTACTTTTTGTTTTCAGATATCTTAATAGACTAAAAAATAGGAATGCAAGGAAAAGAGCTGCCAAAAGTTTTAACACTAACACGAAGTGGTATGTCCTGTTTTCAGGAAGTGCTGGAGTCTCAGAGTCAAGAATTTATAGGGAATCCAGAGGGCGTGGTAGCAATGAACCCCACATAAAGCGTCCAATGAATGCCTTCATGGTGTGGGCTAAAGATGAGCGGAGAAAGATCCTTCAAGCCTTTCCTGACATGCACAACTCCAACATCAGCAAGATATTGGGTAAGAAAAACATTAAGAACTAAGTGACATATGGAATAAAGGCACTGTCCTGTTTCCTGCAGCTGTGGAAGGATCCTGGATTTGGAGGCCATGCAGCTCATGATATCTGCTTATCCAGAAAATAAGCATCGTCATTGAGGCTTCTTCTGTTGATGAAGCATTCTATGTTCATTGGGAAATATATCAACCATATTTCTATAGCTCATTTAGCTGTTTGTTTTCATACTAATTATTCTAATGCTTTATCATCTTCAAAAATCTAGAAATATTTTTACTAAAGCTGAGAAAATAGTTACTTTCACGAGTCACTAGACATTGCTACTGATCATTTGTATTCATTTCATTGCATACTATAGACAACTTATTGTAATCTTAAGGTCTCCTTCCTCTCTCATCATCCTCTGTAACAGAAGTATAAGAAGTTTTGTTTGTAGAATTCATCATGTTGTGGGGGTGAGGGTGGAGGTGGGGAAGGTGTTTATTCCAGTGCTATAATTGAAAACCAGCATTAGATTCTCAGAACACAGGAAGATGTAGAGTGCACATTTTTACATTTATACTTTTAGTAACCATAAGTACTAAAGATACTTTTAATAATAATAACTTTTAATACTTTTCAGGATGATTGAAAGGAGACTTTTCTGCCATTGCAACATTCAATTTAACAGAAAACAAAGTACACATTTACTCTACCTACACAGACACTGAAGCACACAGGAAAAATGGTAGGGAAGATAGAGTGCAGAATATAAAGATACCTACCATAGAACAATTCAGGTCCAAGGGGAAAAAAAAGAGAAGATTCCATTGCTTTTGTGCCTTACCTTGACATCATTATCATTGTAATTATCATTATCTTCATCAATATCTTTGTCTTCATAATCTTCACCTTCAAGTAGCCTGATGGCCAGATACTCGACAATCTAAGAAAATTTTGATTACTCACTCTGTGACTTCTAAGAGTTTAATGATAAAAATAGAATAGAAATATTTGATCAGAAAATGTTGGCTTTAACAAGTCACCAAATTTGTCAAAATTATAAAATCTTTATTAAAATTCATAATGCACTTGGAATTACATGGAGTTTATAATGATAGTATCACTTTTGATTCTTTACTGATGATCTATAAATGGCTAACATATTGATGAGGGTTTTTTTTTTTAATTTTTTTTATTTTTTGGAGATGGAGTCTCGTTTTACCCCCCAGACTGGAGTGCAGTGGTGTGATCTCAGCTCACTGCAACCTCTGCCTCCCAGGTTCAAGCAATTATTCTGCCTCAGCCTCCTGAGTAGCTGGGATTACAGGTGTGGGCCACCATACCCAGCTAATTTTGTATTTTGGCCAGGCTAGTCTCAAACTTCTGACCTCAGATAATCCACCTGCCTCAGGCTCCCAAAGTGCTAGGATTACAGGTGTGAGCCACCACATCCGGCTGCATGAGTTTTTATGATCCCATATTCTCAACAAAGGTAATAGATGCCACCAAGTCCGCAAGGTGCATTTGTAATGGGATCAAAACAGAAACCATTAGCCACTTAAACTTGTATCTCATTTTTCACCTAAATCTTATCTAAAAAGACATGAACATACAAAGCTTTCAGTAGTATACATAGAAAATATGAAACTCTGTGTGTAAAAATATATATCATGCATAATCAAAAACTTGAACTGATCAAGAGGAAATCCACATTTTTTTTACATCTCCACCAGTGCTGGTCTGTTTTTCCTTTTTGTGACTATATTCTACCTTCCATATGAAATTTCCCATCTTTACAAAACTACCAGTTTCATTTGGAAAAACTCTAGAAAAGAATGCTTTATGTAAACATATTTCAAGTTTTAATATATCAGTTATTACCAAATTAGAAATCCAAAATTGTCAGAATAAAGAACAAGTTAAATGCTAAGATTTCAAAACTGGCTTTATATTATTCAACTCATGTATCTGAATACCAAAAAGGTGATAATCATCAATTAAAACTGTCTTAACTATAAGAAATACCAGTTTTGATGAAATGATATTTTAGGAAATATAGCAAAAGCCTCCGTGGAAAAGAGATGACTGGCTAAGATAATTCCCTTCTGATCTGAGGGAAAGAATATTAGAATGACCATATGATCATATCATAATAGACAACATGAGAGAGAATACTGCCTAATTTCAGTCTTTCTGATGAAATTGTGTTATTAAAAGATATAACATTTATATTTGGGAACAAATAAAACATTGAGGTGTTTTGGGCCTCAATATTTAGTCACAGCTTTAAATAAATAAGTGATCGTCAAATATCCACAAGAGCATTCTAAATGGCCCATTTCATACAAAAGTACAAAGAAAGCTTGATGTTTTCCTCTTTGCTGATTGTTTTGGATAACAGCCTCAACAGCATGCCGCTAATTCATTCCGCTTAAAACAGGCGCTTGAGCTGGGTTGACATTTTACGTAGTCTCTGGGGATCCTAGTTGACATTTTAAAGGGCTTCTAAGCATTTTATAATACCCTAAAATCTGGTTTTAATAAGCCATTCTGCTGAAATTGTTAACATAAGGAATCACCTTTTACTGCTTGGCGCTAGATCAGGGGATGAGGGACATCTTTTTCTGATTAGATATACAGTAGTTGGAGTAAAACGTGTAAATTCATTACAGACCCCATGGAGATGACACTGTTCCTCAGCTCAAACTCTTCACTTTTAGTGAAGATTTAGAAAGAAAAGGAAAATTGTAGGAACTTTTTATTCCTTTTTATTTAGAGCATCAAATATTTTTGATTGAAACTTCCTCTTTTGTCGTCAGGAGGAAAACCCAATTGTCCTTCTCTACTTTTTTCTTCTAAAAGACCAACCTTTTGAAAGCAGCAGGGAATAAACTCCCTGGACATCAATATAGAGTAAGCAGCCAGCCATGCCCAAATTAAGTAGATATTTTTTATCTTTTTTTGATGATACCCAAAATGCTTTCTATCATTCTCATCAAGTGTGGTTCAGGGGTTAGTTAACACCTTAGCTGAATACAATGGTTATCGTACCTGCAAAGCCATTGAAATCAAAACCAAACTTGTCGGTTGGTTAACCTAACTCAAGGTTACTGTTTTGAAAATGAAAACTGGATTTGCCACATGGAAACACTGCTCTGTACTGTCATAAAATGTAGTAGTTAGCCATTTGCCCCAGTTTGTGCTTAGCTATCTTAATTCTTAGGTTTGAAAAGACTTGGAATTATTATATGGCCATATTTTAAAATGTAAGTTAGGATTCAGTGATACTTTCAGAGAAATTATACTATCAAGAGTTAAACTATTTTATAATTCCCGCTCATGCCAGATTTGGAAGCCAACTTATCTTAAGAATTTACACATCTTTTATTATCCCATTTCTTGATATACATGCATCTTTTTTTTCTCTTTTTTTATGTCAGACCAGCTTTCTTTAAGTTAGTCTAATCCCTCTTTCCACTGAAAGACCTTAAGTATTATATTCTTCCTCTATAGGATGTTCTTCTCTTTGTGATCCCCGTAGGAGTCATTCCTACAGCAAAGCCTTCCTGACCTGCAGGGGATTGATCTCACCTCCTTATCATATGTTCTCTTACTTTCCTGTACTTCCCAAAACTATAAGGGAAATAAATTTTATAATTAGATATTTCATGTGTATTCCATGATTGAATATAAGCTTCAAAGAGACAGGAACTATAACTTTTTTATTCACTTACTACTTCATATCAGTAATTAATACAACATTATGCACATATTAGGAATATAAAAACAACTCTCACATTCCAAGGCAGATTACTTCAAAGCATAAACATTTTCTTTCCTTTGAAGAGCAAAAGCTTTTTGGCTTGTAGATAATTTAAACTTAGGGAAGAGTCTTTGGCAATTCCTATTCTAATTGAAAATGCTGGTTTCATTTTTGAATTTTGGGATAAAGATAGCTAATAGATTTTACATTAGATCCACCATCCTTGATCCATTTTTCAGCGTATTCCTGTTTGTGAGTTATTTATAGTAAGCTCACTTTCCACTCCCTGATCTGAAGTTCAAAAAACTGGTACCAATGCTTGGAAGAAACTCCATGAAAAGAGTTGCTCTGTTTAATAGTGTTATAATCATATCTGTGTTTATAAATACCCTGAGAATAACGTAATGATATTCAAGTATCTTCAGAAAATAATGCTGGGCCAACAAGGAGTTTGAGATTATACCTACAAATGATATGGCTTGACCAACCAACTTAATTTTGGACGATGCTATTTAAACAGAAGTTTAAGAAAGGAGTGGAAAAAGAAACTTTATTATTTAAACTGTAACCTGCATTTCTATTGTAAATAGAATAAATTCATATTGGCTTTCTAGATTTGGAAATTGTACCTATGCAATATCTCTTTCAATTTCTAAGGGAAAAAATTTCAACATTTCTAAGGGAAGAGATACCTCTTTCACTGCATGCTGTAATAAACATAACAGCCTATATGATGAATTCTCTACATGTGTAGGGAAGAACTATTCAACAGTGAGCTACTTGCATTTAATATATGGTGTTATGGGTGAGTAATGAACTCATTCAAAAGCTTCTAAGATCTTACTTGGATGACATTTAAAGGCAGGTAAAAGACCATTTGGTAGGGATATCCTGGTTGTAGTTTTTCGGCCTTTGTGCATTCGGGTTGAGTTGAGATGACTATTTGCAGATAAACACACACTTCATCTGCAAATAGATTTTTAACTCTCTCTTAATAAAAAGTAAACACTATTACTACCACTTCTATTTGAAAAAAAAAAAAAAAACTTTGACAGAATCAACGTTTTAAACCATATCTAAAATGTGAATTAACATAAACTATTTGTATTTAAGCTTCAAACTTGTCTTTTTTAATCCCAGCTAAATTCATACCAAAATTAATAGTGAAAAGAAAGGGGGAAACAATTTGGGTTATTATTACTAATACAGACTACATTATGGGAAGTGACATCTTTGTATGTTACTGAAATTAATTTATTAAGAGAAAATCTTACTCAGTACACACTTACTTTAATTGTGACCTCTGCTATATTTTATATAGTAGGTGGCCATATATAGGAAATGCCGTACATTATAGCACAATTTAAGTTCTGTCAAATCTGAGTTTGAGCCACAGATCTGCACTTCAATAATTATGGCCCTGGCTAAGTTAGTTTGAATCTCAATTTTCTCAACTATGAAAACAGATAGAAATGCTGTCTGTCTTATAAGATTGAGGTGAAAGGTAGGAAAGGGATAATGCATGTCAAGCTTTTAGCATAGTATCTGGCACATAGTAGTTATTCAGTCCAAGTTGATTAATATTATAATTTTAATTATAATTAAAATGTTAATAAAATGAATTTTTTACTACTATCATTTTCATAAGCATAAAATACTTAAACATTTTGGGGAGGGTGAGACTACATGATATATGTTAGGAACTTTCGTAGTAAAAAACATCTCCCACATAAAATACTCAACAACTTGATACAGTAATTAGTCTCAGACTCAAAATGTGTGATAAAATATTATGTAACTTTTGTTCACATGTGAATTATATCATGATCTAATGTAGGAATGAGAAATATATTCATTAAATTATGAGCTTTTGGGTACATAATACAAAAGTTTGGCTAAACTATGAATTCAAGCCAGAGAAAAAAATGAATTGCCCAGTGTTTATATCTTTAGGTACAAAACCACCACCACCTCTGTTCTTGTGGGATCTCGCTAATCAAAAACAGGTTTATGTATTTCTGGGTTTTGGTCAACATCCCTACTTTAGATTTTCTTGTTCTCAGCTATATCTCTTTTTAGACTGCTTAGAAGCTGTGCCAATTGGCATCCTAACCTTCTTTCTTCATAGGATCTCGCTGGAAAGCTATGACAAACCTAGAGAAACAGCCATATTATGAGGAGCAAGCCCGTCTCAGCAAGCAGCACCTGGAGAAGTACCCTGACTATAAGTACAAGCCCAGGCCAAAGCGCACCTGCCTTGTGGATGGCAAAAAGCTGCGCATTGGTGAATACAAGGCAATCATGCGCAACAGGCGGCAGGAGATGCGGCAGTACTTCAATGTTGGGTATGGACCCTTCAGTCATTTTTCTCATGGGGCAAACTTCCTGTTATACTTAATGGGATGTGAAACATATTTGTTCAGTTGCAAAGAGGCATTTTGAAAGAGAATCTGAGCTCAGAGTATTTTCAGAGACTAACAGTCTCCCACATGGTCTTGAAAAATATATGCATATGAATCCACTGCAAGTTCCTAGCTCTAACATGAGATTTGTTAACAACTAGTTTAAAAATAAGATAACTACAAGTAAATAATTTTGAAGCTTTCTATTAAAAACTTAGAAGTATAACTGGTTCTTTTCTTCATTGGTTTGCATTACCTCCTAAGCTTCACCATGATCAATTTTACAATTGACAACTTTGTTGAGACAATACAAAATAAAAACCATTTCGAAAGAAAAAATACTTATTTCTAAATACAGAGAGGTTAGTGAGCTATCAAGGTACATGTGTGGCCCTTGTAGGTAACACAAGCTAGGGATTATATTTAGGGCACAACAAGGTTATGAACAGGAAGTTTCATTCTGAATGAAGAACGCAGCTCCAAGATGGTTTACAGTGCTCCGGTGGCAAGGTTGTTGATAGTGTTGTAGATGTTCTACAGAAATGCATTGCTTCTACAGAATTCTCTCAAACACAAAAATAAAGTTGTTCATCTTTGAAATAGAAGTTAGCTCCTAAGAGCTACTTAGAATAATAAATATTGTTCTAAATATGGGCAGAGAATAACATAAAAGCCTTTTCAAATCTGCTCTGTCCCCTCCAGTTCCTTGGAAAAGGCTACATGCTCTGTCTAGGGTTCTGTGATTCATATGCAAGCACATGACTCCTCACAAAGATAAACACAAAGCCCAACAGTTCTTGGGTTAATAGTAAACATATGAATGAATAAAAACAAGCATAAATGAGCATCATCTATTCATTCCTTTCTATAGGACCACCTACGTTATTTATAGGACCAGTTGCAAAAATGAAGAGACAGAGTCTCTTGTTAAAAAGTTATTAGGAATTTTGGCCTGGCGTGGTGGCTCACACCTGTAATCCTAGCACTTTGGGAGGCCGAGGTGGGTGGATCACCTGAGGTCAGGAGTTCAAGACCAGCCTGGCCAGCATGGTGAAACAGTCTTTATTTAAAAACAAACAAAAAAAAGTTATTAGGAATTTCAAGTCTGTGGCAGCAAAGCTTTAAATCAAAGTGTGGGACCTTAGTGCAGTTGCACCGTTTGTACATCCTTGAAGCTGGCCCTGCTTCCTACCACTATGACTGTGTGAATTTGTTCAGTTCTGGTGTGTTCTGGTGGGAAAGTTTTATTTTTAGAACTCTAATACTTTAGGATTTTCCTATTAAAATGTAATTATCTTTAGGTTTAATTCTAGGGAAAAATACCATTTCTGCATGTTATAGTGAAGGAAAAATGAACTTGGAGTTAAGGACCTGGGTTCTTCTGCCTCATCTTTTTGTACCCTCAGTTTTTTTAATAAAGCGGTAGTCACAAAACAGGATTAAGAATAAGATGGACAATACATGTAAATGTCTTGCAATCTATGAAGCACTACATAGAAGTAAGGTATTAAAGTCAAAGTTGGATACAGTTTGAAAAATGTTCGGCAGTTAGATAAAATCAGTATCTTAGAATGGGACATTGCTGAGCAAATTAATTGCAAAGTCCATATCTAACTATTCACTCACCCATGATCTCTTTTTGGAAATTCCTTTCTTGACAGGCAACAAGCACAGATCCCCATTGCCACTGCTGGTGTTGTGTATCCTGGAGCCATCGCCATGGCTGGAATGCCCTCCCCTCACCTGCCCTCGGAGCACTCAAGCGTGTCTAGCAGCCCAGAGCCTGGGATGCCTGTTATCCAGAGCACTTATGGTGTGAAAGGAGAGGAGCCACATATCAAAGAGGAGATGCAGGCCGAGGACATCAATGGAGAAATTTATGATGAGTACGACGAGGAAGAGGATGATCCAGATGTAGATTATGGGAGTGACAGTGAAAACCATATTGCAGGACAAGCCAACTGATAAGGGTCAAAAGATTGTTGTGACCTTAGGACTTAAAGAAGCCCTAACAGGTTCATCCTTACCAGTGGCCAAGCACATTAACTTTCTCATACACTGACTGTTACTTTAACTGTTAGTCTTAAATAGTTGGGACATCAGCTGACTAATAGACCTCAGCCTCAAAAGGCTTGGAAAGAAAAAAAAATACAACAAGCAGACAACAATATCAACAACAAGAGATTGAAATAAGCTATGGGTAAAATAATGCCAGTAATTCAGCTGCTACATCCAAGCACTGAAGTCTTACCCGTCAACTTTTTTTTTTTTAATAAACTTTATGGCTGTTTGTTCTACAATGTTCTAGAAATTCTCACTCAGGTACACAGTGCCAACAAGTGGCTTGTGAATGTGTTTTGTTGTTTTGTGCTACAATTTTTAAAAAGAAATAAGTTTTGTTTTGTTTTTGGGGGTTTCTGGGTTTTTTCCTTTTCTTTTTCTTTCATTTTTTTTCTTTGTAATGCACCTGACAGGAAAAAAAAAAAGAAAAATGAATTTCTCTTTACTTCTCTCCACCTTCTCCATCTCTATACTTTAAAGATGGAAGTCTGTGCATGAGGGGGAAGAGGGAAAAAGAGCCTGTTTTTAACTTACTTGCTATCCACCACAAATTAAGCAATTATTTTCTTTAGAGGACTTTCTTTATCTGTTGCACACCACACTACATCTTTGAGCAAGTGCCAAATTTGTACTGAAGTGTTGACCAAGTTCATTTTTTCCCTTTCCTTTTTCCTGTTCCTTCTTAAGTTAGGACAGTGTTATAACTTAGACAATCCCTTAGAAAACCTGAAATACCAGCAGCTGGTGAGATTTGACTTTTTTTTTTTTTTAATGGAAACTGTAGGTGCTGTTCTCAGGTGAAAAGAGAGAGAGACATAAGAAATTTAGAGAAAAATATTTTCTGATCTTGGATTTTTGTGTGTATGTATGTGTGTGATTATGGTACTAATAGGAATAACGTTGGACCATTGTGAGTTAAACCCACATCTGGGGATGAAATCCCACATCCTCCCAAGTGACTGGTCTAGAAATAATCTTGACCTTGACTTTGCACTTCAAATGACAACTTAACCAAGTATAGGGCTCAGAAATTATATTTTTAAATGTCTAATATGATTATTATTGGATGGATCAGGTGGCCCTGTGTAATAGAGGTGTGCATGTATAACATGGAAGCTACTAGCAAACTGTTCCCAGATGTCCTTTCTCCCTGGTCAGTTGGTTCTATTAATGTTTGCTACTTAGTGACTTTTGTTTTTCCTGTTGATATTTCGAGCAAAACAATCATTGTTTTCATTGAATATATTTGGCCATTTTTCAGATGAATAGAATTAGCTTATTTCTTCAACATTCCATCCTTTCCTGATCAGGAAATGAAACTGATGATTTTATAAGGTATTTTTCACCCCTCCATGAAATGAGGTGGAGGCCTTTAGCATTTCAGAAGTGTGGGCCATGTGTAGTTCATGCCATAAAAAGTAGTATTTAATTAAAAGTCATTGCAGCCCAACAAAATGGAGCCTGGCTGCACCCAGGGATCCTTGCCACTGCTCTTCCCTTGCTGTCAGATGAATCCACTGAAGTCCATCTTTGGTTTGAGCAGAGTATTTGTGAAGAGCAACAACTGAATGTGATGGGACTGCTTATGTAGATTTTGCCAGCCAAATGCCAAGGCAGTTGTAGGGCCTGTACAAATAAATGCAAAATCATTTCAAGTCAATTGCCATTATTTGTATTGAAGTATCAGATAGTAAATACTGCAACTAGTAGCTCAATGTGCTATAGTTTTCACTCCAGTCATCATTTTCCTATTCCACCCCCACTAAACACCACCCTAAAGTTGGATTTTTCATATAAATAAAAAAAAATTTCTTTTATTTTTCTCTCTCTCAAAAGACTTGCTCTGGGGTTTTGCTTGGAGGAGCTGATCATATCCTGCATGTCAGAGATTTCGTTATGTTTGTTTTTCCTGTTTTTGATGACTTTATTTTCATTTGAACTGCCTCTTTTTGCTAGTGTTGTAATAATGATGATGATGATAAAATAATAATAATAGTAATAATAATAATGGTCAGCTGTTCCCAGATTAGTAAGTTATGTATAATTTATTTTATTTCTCCCCTTCTATTTTATTCTGCTCCGATTTGGAAGTGCAGCCAATAAGCTGTTAGATATTTAAAACAAATTTCCATCTCCAATTCATATATGTATGTATATGTATATATATGTGTGTGTGCATATATATATATACACATACATACACACATACACACACACACATTTACCCACACAATTTTACTTCTCCTTCCATAAGTTTTCTCCTTTTTAAGAATTTTGGCCCCAACAATATCTGTTCTGATGTTTAAAACAAAGGAGTGAATTCATAGGAGGGTTGTGTTCAATCTTAACTAACTTATGCTCTCATCACTCAGTTATTTAATTGCCACAGTCATCTAGAGCCAATTTTTGTTTTTGTTTTTGTTTGTTTTGTTTTTAAGCACTCTGGATAAGGAAAAACTAGACACTTGTTTTTATATCATTATTATGTACAATGTGAAAACAGATTTTTAAAAATTTTGTTCTCTGTCTTTGTTAACAAATTCCTTCTGATTTATGTGGGTTCACCTCTCACGTTTGCTGGATACTTACTTCACACCATGTTATAAAAGATGCTTTGTTTTCATTTCATGACTTTGGGCTACAAGAATACTTTGTTTTAGCTCCAGGTAGATGCCATTGAAGGCATTCATGGCTGAAACCAATAACACACCAGTGAATTGACAACGATTCTGTTTAGTCTTTTTTTGTTTTACTTTGTTTTATTTGAAGGGAAAACAAAATTGTTAATGGTGACTTTTAACTGCTGAAATTCAAAAGTTAATCTTAGCTAGGTTTATGTCTGAGACTAAACTGTGCATGAACTGAAACAAAAAGCAGGCTCATAGCCCTGCATTCTGTTCCCTTGTTCTGATGGTTAATTCACTGGATATCAAATTTTCTTTGCCCTAGTTTTCCCGGTTACAAAAGCAAAAATAGTTGTATTAATGTTGAAAGTGCTATGAAATCACTTGGCAAAAGGTGCTATGAATAGCAACTTACTGTGTTACTACATTGCCTTTTTGGCATTTGGTTGATTTATAATTTTGGTCAAGGATCCTAAAACCCTGTATTCTTTTTCTGTGCCCCATAATGACCAAAAAAGATAAAGAAAATGAGAGTAAGATCAAAAGATCAAACTAAAACACAGTCCCCTCCTCTCTGCTTTCTTACCTACCTGTTCACACTTTATCTCTTTGCCTTTCTCTCTCTCTCTTACACACACACACACACACACACACACACACACACACACACACACACACA